TCCAATGGTCCGGCTGCCGGAGCACTTCTGGGTTCCTGATGGTGCTGGACCATCGGAGTTTTACTGTAAGATATAATATAGATTGTGATGTAATGTCAAGTGTGTTTGGTATTATTGTTGAAACCATCTGGCAACTCTAGATAGGTATTTGTTTTCATAAATCTGTCAAACAAAAGGGAATATGGATGGAAGCATCTGCTGTACACAACAAAATCCTTCACTCTTGCAACAAATTTACTGTACAAATGTCAATCATTTTAGTCACTTATTTGCAACATAGGAAGTACCTCTCTACTACTGAAACTAAGAATTGCCACATCTTTAAGACACCATCTTCCATTACTGCTTTCAATTAAAATATAAACCCCTCATATCTTTCATTAGGATGAGCCATAATTTCCTTCAGTTTGTGTAAAAAGCTGTCACTGTATCTTGAATTCATCCTCCGATTACAATTTTACATACTGAAGGATATATGAAAGTAAGATTAGTCACTGTTCTAAGGCCATCTGCACAAAGGAGAGTTGAAACAGCAGTATTGTAAGGGAGTGTCTAAGGAAATGTTTCTATCTCCACTTTTAGGCCTTGTCTTCAAAAGGGGGGGAAAGGTATTTTAACTAACTATAATCTAACCTGTATTAAAAATCTTAGTGAAGGCATTGGAAGCTGTAGTTTTAACCCATATTAGTTGGTAACTGTTGACCAATAAGCATGGGTTAAAATGAAGACATTTTGTCTTCATTAACTATCTAGTTAATGCAAATTAGAATACATCTTTTTTCTTAGTGAAGATACTGTTTTCAGGGTTTAGTTTACATTTAAAGGACATGCAGCAACTCCAGGTTTATGCTTATAAATCTCAAAAAAAAAATCAATGCCTTTAATTTTAAACACTCTTTGGACCTTAAAAATCATCACGGATCATACTGTTTACCTTGCCACAGCTTTTGCAAGAGTTAGTTGGGTGACATTTCTTGACTATGCCACAACCATATAGAAAACTGATGTTATGAAGTCCACTTTCACCTGCTATTTTGCCACACTGCATTCTGAACTGCACTGCCTACATCACAATGCAGAACTGAGCCTAATGTTCCCTTTTAATCCAGCTACATGCTGCTGTTTCCAGTGTACCGGCTGAGGAGACAAGGCATGGAATTTAGTTCTCCCCTTCAGAGGTCAATTTTCTCAAGAAAGAAGGCTTGATAAGGCTTAAAGCATGAAGCTTTCGAGGCATGTTTCTGTAGCTGCATATTGTAGGTCTATCTGAGGGGGATTTTATATGTAATATTTGCTACCATATTTATAATAGGATACATTAAAGAAAGAGAGCCACATTACCTTCTGAATTTCCTTTGCTGCCTGTCAGAGTTTGATACTGAACAGCTAGTTTTTAGTATTTAAATTGCCCCTTTGTTTCCCCTTCTCATAATCAGAATGATGCTACCACTGCCAGCTGTAATTGTAATATCCTGACTCAATGTGAATTGATAAGCAAAAGCACTAATGTCCCACACATTTCATTATCGGACAACATCCACCACCTGTGTTAGATAAATACTTTTGTTTCTTGGTGCCATCAAGTGGCAAAATTGCATAGTGCAACTTGAAATCAAACTGCTTTGAATAATAACCATCAAAGACTCTGCAGTCAGAACTAGAGCTGTTAAGAGATGGATATTTAACTAATCAAGTAGTCGACAGTAGTTGATAAAAATTCTCAATTAGCCAATAGGTATCCCGGCTCAGTCGCAGCTCATACTGGGGCACAGGACCAAACCCTGTTGCAGCTCTGCCATTTAAACGGCAGGAGGAGCCAGGAAGCCTGCCCCCCTGCTGAGAATCCCCATTGACAGGGGCTGCTTCACAGCAGCAGCCCCTCCCCCCCGCTGCCTCCGACAGAGGTAGCAGCAAGGTGGGAGATGGCCAGCACCATGGAGACAGGGCTGGAGGAAACTGGTTTTTCTCCTGCTTCCCTCCCGCCTTTGCTGCCCAGAGGCAGCAGGGGAGGGAGCAACACAAATAGTCAACTCGACTACCTGATAAGCATAGGCTTACTGGGTAGTCAGCTACTCCCTTACATCCCTAGTCACAACTGTTCATCCACATGAAAATAAATAGTAACTGATCTACTGCCCAAGTAGATTCCTTTTCCCCCCCACAAAATTCAATATAGATTTTAAAGTATTTAATATATCCTTCAGTTCATACAAGTGAATGTTTTCTGAAGAGCTATATTTTTGTAATTTAAGAGTTTTGATTCAACAGGTACAACATTTTGAACACAGAACGGAGAAAAAGTTATACTGTTTCACTCTATTGTGCAAGGTCTAGAAGATATCAGATGTTTCAATTCAATAAAATTTCAAAAAGACTGGATAATAAGCCCTTAGGGAATGACAAAAGATCAAAAGTGAAATACTGACTGTTCTCAATCAGATCACAAAATGGTCAAACCAAAACTGGATTGCTTTGCATTCAAATGTCAGCATTTTTTTTAAATCTACATTTATGCATCACTCATTAAGCTTTCCTGATGCCAGGTCAAAAGATCTAACAAACCTTTTTCCTCAACAACTAGAGAAATCAATTGTTTACACCAATATTTAACAGGCGTATACACATTTTTAAAAGCCATCACCACGAGGACTATCAATAATGCAATAATTGTAATTCTGCTCTCAGAAGCCAGTGATATTTCAACAGATTTCTTGCTCTTAGCTTCCTTCCACAGCTCTTAAGATTTCATTCCCAGGAGTCATTAGAACCTAGCAGAGTCCAAGTCAGACCACTCATCAGAGTCTCAATATCCCACTCTGCATGTTCTCATTAATTCCCTTGATTGCACATGAGGCAGAGGTCCTGAGGTAAACCCATACAAGAAGAAAACAGTATAAAAATAAGCTCCAAAGGGGGAGAAAAATCAATGTAAGGGTAAGCATCGGAACACTTTTAAAATCCATTTCCCCTTTCCCCATCTTCTCACCCCCAACATCTAGTTTTTAGGGCTGGTTATAATCTGGGCCTGTTTAACACTGATTGTATCAATTTGAAAACTCTGGATAATAATACAAGACTGTTTAATGTTTTGAGAGGCCACTATGTTAACATGTTACAAAGAGATACTCACATCACTTGTTGAGACTGTTCCTGTTTCAATAGCACCCATAGTACCACGAAGTTTCTAATGCAAAAACAAAAATGGTTACATTTTTTGCTAAGTCAACTCTATTGCTATTAAAATAAACTTAGAAAAATCAGGATTGTGTCAGAGATACATCCTCCTCTGTTTTGTCCAGGCCACTTGAGTCACAAGTGTCATTGTTCTCCACTACTTTCACTCCGAGACTATTCTACAACTGAACACTGATCTGTTGGAAAACTTTCTTGTTAAATCAATATCTAATAAGGAAGATAATCACACTAATTCTACCCTTACAAAATTGAGACTACAACAATTGGCAAAAAGTGCAGCATGATCTCACAATCCAATGTTTTATATTGCCCCATTTACATGAAGGAGGAAAAAAGAGCAACAGAAGAGTAATATTCAAGTGGTCCAGGACAACGTTATGAGAAACACTGACGCACATTTTCTCCTTTGAGTTCTTATACAAAGCACTTACCAGAGTTAGTCTCAGAGTGGTATAACTAGAAAGATTATAACCTTGCATTGAATAATATCAATAAACGATCATGAAACAGCTCAAAACTTCAGGAAGCAGAAGCAAAACTAAGCAGTCCAAAATATATAGCTTCACATCGGACTTGTCAAAGTATTATCCCTGCCTAGAAGAGCATCAGGGTTACTTCCAGACATCACAAAATACATTTCAAATTTTTTAAAAAGGTGCATTTATAACAATGTTTTTTATATTTCACATTTAACTGCAAGTGATCTAAATATCAAGGCAGAATTTGGAGTTTTTAAAAAAGAAAGTTATTGTTAAGATTCTTGGTTTTCTCTTAGTTTCCAAAAACATTTAGGTAATATTTCTGAATCAAGTTTGTTCAATAAAGCCTATTGAACTGAGTCTCACAACTTATTAGATTTCAGTTTAATTCCAAATATAGCCTTAGAGAATGACCAACAATTTGCTTTTGCAACCACTCTTGCACAAAAGTACCACCACCACAGTTCCCACTAAGGTGCACACCTACACACACATTTTTTCCCCCGCCCACCTCCTCTGGAGAGTCGCACAGCAGCACTCATGCAGCAGGCAGCTGCTACAGTGGGCAGAGCTGGCCGAAATGACGTGATGAGAACACCGCTCGGGGGGCGGGGGGACAGGACCTGCCGCAACCATGTGGCGGGCAGAGGCCTGCTCTGGTGGCCAGGGCTGCCACGTGGTAAGGAGGGTCCGGGGCCTGTTCTGGTGGCTGGGGCCAGGAATGGGTGTTGCCGTGTGGTTGGGTGGGAGTGTCTGCTCTGGGGGCTTGGAACAGGACATGCTGCATGGCAGGGGTTGGGGGGGTTCTGTTCCAGTGGCCAGGAACATGTGTGTGTTAATAAACTGGATGCCGTGGTGGCACAAAGCCAAACCAATGCACATGACCTCAATGTTGGTACACAAGCCAAAACTCACTCTGCTCATGGTTGGGAAAATCTTGAGAGAACACTGACCACCTCCCATAGTAAACAGCAAAGAAACATAGTTTTGTTTCTAAGTAACAAGTCATTCTTATAATACTAGAGCTTATGCCATATGTCAAAATTACTCAAATCTTTATGCACCTTTAGGTGACTTCACACTTTCAGATGTTTCCGTCTAAGCAGCTACATAGGGAGCCTTAAAAAAACCCCACTCTTCAATCTAGCAGAGAAAGGTATAGCACACTCCAATGGCTAGAACTTGAAGTCAGACAAAGTCAGATTGGAAATAAGGCATAAATTTTCAACAAGAATTATTAATCATTGGAACAAGGGTTGTGGAAGACTCTCTATCACAGGCCATTTTTTAAAATCAATATAGGTTCTTTTTCTAAAAGATATGCTCTAGGAATGATGTTTGGGAAGTTCCATGGTCTGTGTTGAACAGAAAATAAGACCAAATGTTCACAATGATCCCTTCTGACCTTGGAATCTATGAATGTTCGTTAGAGTGCTGTTCACTATAGAAAGCACCAAGAAAAGGATCTAAATGTATCAACTCAGGATGATTTCCAAAACTGTTCAACACACAAGATGTGATTTTTCCGAGTGCAACCCTCTGAAACAAAAAAAACCCCATGAGATCTGAAATAGAAGGATGTCCTCTCACACTTAAAGTCACCAGAAGTCAGCAACTTTGTTATGAAAACATAAAATGCAGTTTACTCTCATATAACTGTGCACTATGATGCTGACATCTTTTAATCAATCACAAAAACATGAGAATAAGAATGGGATTTTTCCCTCTCCCTTTCAAGAAAATCCTTTTTTCTCTAGCTGCAATTCAGTACACTTCCAAATACTGTCTATGTGAAGATACAAAATCTTTTACCGTATATACTCGAGTATAAGCCGAGTTTTTCAGCACAGTTTTTGTGCTGAAAAATGCCCCCCTCGGCTTATACTCGAGTCAGCATCTCGAGAACTGAGGCGGGCAAAGCCTCAGAGGCGCGGGACCCCCCCGCGGCTGCGGCTTCAGTCCGGGAGCCTGTGGTCTGCTGGGGATGGTCCCCAGCAGACCACAGGCACCCAGATTGAAGCGGCAGCAGCGGCGGTTCCCCGCGCCTCTGAGGCTTTGCTCTGGCAAAGCCTCAGATCTCCAGCAGACCAGGGGCACCGGAGCAGCTTTCGCCCCGACTTCCGGGGCTAGACCCGGTATCTATCTTCATTTTTTACATTTACCAGTAGCTGCCTCATTTCCTACACTAGGCTTATACTCGAGTCAATACTTTTTCCCAGTTTTTTGGGGTAAAATTAGGTGCCTCGGCTTATATTCGGGTCGACTTATACTCGAGTATATGCGGTATTTTAAAAAGCTAGTCTAAGGATTTGAGAGTTACAATGGTAATTACTGAAGTCTAAAGCTTATTTCTTTAACAAATAATGCATATTTTGTTGATACAGTTACACTTTATATACCATTAGGGAAGATTAAAAATGTAAACCTTTTAAGAATGCATTTAATTTTTTTACCTGTGAACTAAGTTGAGTTTTAATCCAGTTGAAGTAATAATTCAGATCACTGCCTTCCATAAGCTCTTTTCCCCAGGCAGCCAATTTAGCAATAATTCTTGCTGCCTGAAAAAGAATTTGATAAACAGAACTTCAGTTGCAAGTGATCAAAGACTGAGTAACAAACAGAAAAACCAAACACTTGTAAGCTTTGGAAACCAAATTTCAGTGAAAACATTGATACTTAAAACAAATAAAGTTGCTTTACTCATTTTTTCAAAGCAAACCCTTATAATTTGATTTATACCCAATATCTGTTCTTCAGCTTTTTTTGTTGGCTCTGTACCTCATTAATATGAGGAAGCAGGTTACAGATCAGAAGTTATAAAGTAAAAGAAAAATCTATGACAACACTGTTGCAATCTACGGCTTGTGTCCCTCAACTAGTTCCTTTCAGAGGCCAACAAAAAGCCAATTGCAGGATCTGGTCCTAATTGGGTATGTAGCATTGATTAACATCAATTCACTTAACTTTAATTGTTTTAGGCTCACAACATTTCTTTGTGAATTGATACTGAAGCAATAAATATAGTTTTCAAGAAGAAAGATGATTTTTCTTTAAAAAAAATAAGATGGGAAAACCACAGTGGAAAAGAGACAATCTTCTGAGGAGGAAATTACACAAGTTTTCATAAGTAGTTCTTCAAGATGACTTCATGATACATGAGAAGCAACACATTTGATCAGTTTTCTAGGGCTACTATCTTCTCAAGACAATTTATATGCATTCCAGGAATTATTTGAAGAAAGTCAAATTTTATAGCAGGACTTCTACATTCTGCAGCACCCCAATGCAGTGGACAAGAGACCCTATAGTAACCTCAACTTTTACAAATTATATATGAAAATGAATACAATTATTGCCCCTCAGTTTTGAAAATATGTGCTAAACATTTTTATACTAAAAACGCATAATTACAGAGAAATCTTTAGTTATCAGATTTTTTTCTAGTAAGCAAACAGATTTCTTCAAAAGAAATCCGTTTTTAATCACAGATATTTCCTAATCAATGGGACAGACATGATAATTCAGAAAAAAAAGAAGCATAGTTCCACATAACATTATTTTGATTCCCAGGAAAAGCAGCAAGTATTTTTTAAACAAAGGGTCATACAAAATTTGTTGTGCAATAGAACTGGTTTAGCTGACTTGCAAAAGAAAAAAAGTATGCCACAAAAACAAATTATTTACATTATGAATCTGTAAACTGCAAAAAGAAAATAGGTTTCTATTTTCACCCCAGCACTGATGCATTTTTAAAGCTTACCATGTGCACAGTGAAGTGATCTTGGCGGTTCAACATAGGCAGAAAGTAGGACCATGCAGTGTTCTTACCACGTTTTGCATAGTCAAAGAAGATACTAACACGCTGATGATTTTCCTGCAAAGGAGGGGGAGGAAAGGATCAGCTCATAAATATTTCAGTCACAATTTTATGTTATTTTTCATTACTTTGTCTTATGTTTTCATGAGATATATTTCATGCATCAACCCCTTTCATTTTAACTGCTACCATATAGCAGTTGGCTATCCAAAGTGGTAAAAGATTTAAACTGCTATTCCATGCTGATTCCCCATCAACCTGTCAGACAGATGCCTCTCACACACCCTGGGTTATACTTCAGTTTATGCAGCATCCATTTAAAGGAAAAGCATGCTCCCTTCCAGCTCTGATATTCACAATCAAAGATTACATAGCTTCTGTGAAAGGGACACGTTTTTAGAGGGTCATAACTCTGCCTCCACTGGAACTTCAACTCTGTGTGAACTTTTTCTACATTGTGTATATATAATCGTGTCATCTGTGCGAGCAATAAACAATCTGTATGCACCAATGGGGACAGTTTTGCACTTTCAAGTGTCTGTGCATGCACAGGAATGTTCTACCTGGCCCTGAAAGTGTCCTGAAAGCCACAGTTGAGGCTTTTCTCTAAATGCAAGCTCCCATAAGAGGAATTAGACATGTGCAGACACACTAGCCACAGTTGTGGTGTTTTCGGTTTTGTTTTTAAACACAAGTTTCCAGCTGCATGTGGCCCACAGTGCAGTTTGGGTTTATGTGGGGCTGAACATGCAGCCCATGGGTGGGATCCTTTGAACATGGCCTTCACTGGGAACACTCACCACAATGGCAAGTCAATATAATGGTCTTCTGTCGATGTGTTTTAGTAGTTAAATTCCTGGGCTGTCATTGCTCATTAGAAGTGCTATCATGGAAATCAGGTAAATATTGCATTTATTAATATCAGCAGAACTGACATAAATGGGGCTTGCGTGTTGTGTAGTCTTGCCTTAATCTTTGTATTCATGCCTGTCAGTGTGAAAGAAGCTATTTGCATATATATGCAACCACACTTTGTATATATATGCGGCCCTCAGCATGTGTTGTGAGTATCCTTGTGGCCCCAGGGGCTTCCAAAGTTGAGTAGCCCTGGTTTATACCGTTAGCCTGACTAAGAGATAGAGCTTCCATCTGCCTGAAAAAATGTGCCCAAACTTAAGCCAAGTCTAAAAACAAAACTGCATAATTTTAAACTAAAATCCTTAGGAGGTTGGATGTACAATACACAGTAAATAGGGCTGGGACCACTAACTGCATGAAGATAAAGATATTCAACAGCTGCCTCATTCCCTGTAAGCATCCATTCTGTGTATTAAGTGTAACTGGAGTTCAATGTCATCATATACTTAAAGTCTTGAAGTATCATAATGCACGAGCACAAAGTTAAGTTTGCCTGTGAAACCTTAATTCTGGCATTTCCCAACTGTTGAGGGCTTGGCTTTGCAGCCTAAATGTTTGTTATTTGAATACAGTATTGCATGCATAAACAAAGATCAAAATTACATCAGATATCCAAGCATCAGAGGAAAACAAACATGAAATAGGTTGACGACCTACTTGCAGCATATCATCAATCATAGTTAGAATGTACTGAACTGTCTGTTCCTTGGAGATATGAGTCATCAGGTTTATGAATGTTTTAGCACACTAGAAAATGAAATACATTGAAATTAATATTAGCAATTGATTTACAATATGCAGTGGTATCACAAAACCAAAATGTGAATGTAAATTTTAGTATCCTAATGGCTTATTTGTATATAAACAATATGAATACATTTGATATTACAGGCAGTCCCCGACTTACGTGGATCCGACTTACGTCGGATCCACACTTACGAACGGGGCTTTCTCGCCCCAGAGGTCAAGGTAGCGGATAGCTACCTGCGAGCTCCGGGGCGAGAACCCCGTTCGTAAGCTGCTCCGGTGCCCCTGGTCTGCTGGAGACCGTCTCCAGCAGACCAGGGGCACCGGGCGGGTTCCCGCGCTTCTGAGGCTTTGCCAGAGCAAAG